CAAGAGAATTTTCAAAAACCTTCCCAGAATAATCATACTATATGATGCACCATTTCCATAAAATGATTTTAATTGTGTGTTCACAAAAATTTTACAAAAGCATTAGAGTTTTTGCACAAATTAAATGAAAATTTAGTCTACATTTTTGCACAACTCTTCATTAATTAGAAAGAGAGCAACTGATATTACAATGAAAATAATATACGTCACCTAAAATGCAAAATTGTCTGTTATCAAAAAAATCGAAAATGAGTTTTTTATTGCTTACAATTATTTGAATACAGGAATTTAAAGGAATATAACCAATATATAACCATATTATAACCATTTTATAACCAATATATAACCAATTGATAACCGATACTTAACTTTTGTTTCTATGAGTGATTTTCATTATTTCGTCTTTCCTTCGCCCGTAAACTTATGAAAAGTGATTACATTATTTTGACTATTAGGTGACGATATACGTAAGCAGAAAAAAATTTTAGTTAAGGTTGTAGTTAAAATTGTGGTTTAAATTATACTTAAATTTTAGTTAATTTTTCTTAACGAATTATTTATTATAGCTAATGAAATTTTGAAGTACACAGTCTCTTGCTCACTACCAACACAAATTTACGCACATACACATTTATGTAACAACAACAATTTTTTCTACAATTAGTTAAGAAGTTAAACAATTTTATTCCCTTTCATAAAGAGACCGTTCAGTGCCAACATTGTAAATACAAACTCATTCAACACCACTGTCAACATAAATACTTAACACTAGTCAACACGACCATTAGCTATTTGCACTAGTTCGCATAAGTATTTGCCCAATTCTAAATATTTGACACACGCACAATTAACAGTTCAAGGTCGTTACTATAAATTAGAGCTTTCATTGGTTTCGAGTAGACAATTAAATGCGCTCACATTGCATTTGTTTTATTAAAGAGTTTTGAAAATCTTCATTTTTAACACCGAATTAATAGTTTTTGTTATTAACTTTTTTAATTTTTTTTTTTAATTTGAGTTATGTTATTTGTAATCCTAATTCTTTTAGTTGCTTAGTATAGTTTTCACATATTTTAGAACTTAGTTTTGTTGCTGTATATTTTATTGTAAAGCTTTCGTTTCATCAGCGCATTCATTTCTCTAAAGTAAAGCATTTTCAACGCACTTCCATCTTATACATTCCATTTTCAACATTCTTCTATCATTTAATATTTAGTATTGTTCATATTTAGCGGTTTTTGTTTTGAGTTTTTCTTGTTGTTGCTATAGTTGGCGCACGTCACAAAGGAAATGCTTGAAAATGTGAAAAGTTCAACTGCGTGTTTGGCAATATATGTGTATGTGTGCTACACACATATACGCTTGTGTATTTTCGCTCTTGGCCATTTTTAGAAGCCATTGGGTGCGTCTAAAAATATGCCAGCATCGCTGCTTTGTGTCAACAAAGGTGCTGTGTGCACGCAGCTAGCATCGGGTGCTGCCTTGCTAAGTGTGCCTGTGTGGGTGTAGCTGTGTAGGTGAGTGTGTGTTTATTGAGGTGTCCTTGTGTGTAGCGCTGTCCTTGTTTGTATTCTTTCCACTAGAGTTACTTTCGCATATGTCTCTACTTAAAATAATTCACCACAAATACTATATACTTATAGGGCGATACTTTGAAAGAAGCATTCCGTGCTTTATTTCAACTTTCCCGACGCCTTCACTGCGGTGCTTTAAGCACTTACAACTGTGCACTAATTCACTCTTATTGATAAAGTACAATACTTGTTATCAATTGGTTAGCTTTGTGTCTGTGTGTATGCATGGGTGGGTAAATATATATGGCGCAACATGGTGTAAAGCACAGTTGTATAGTTTTTGTTGTTGTATACGTAGAGTTTATTGTGGTTGAACAGCAATATGAGCGTTAAAGCCAGTCACAAGCAGCAAATAGAAAATATGAATAATGAAATAAAACGAAACAAAAGTGCAGAACATAACGGTGAAAGAGAAAGAGAGAGAAAGACGGATATATAATTATTAACTTTTTACAATACTTAAATAGTTAATTATATTTGTTGCATCATTTAGGTAGACAATTTTCATAAGAGTGTACATAATATATTGAAAGCGTATTTCTGTATATTTATGAATAATATTGATTTCAAAATAATATATAATTATATATAATTTTTAATTCAACTGACTGCCGTGTAATGAAAGTGAAAGTAATGAAGATATAAGCGAATAAATTCATAAAAATAGAAATGAGGGAGAGAGCAGAGAACCAAAAATATCACATTGTAGCAACAACAGTGGGTAACTTCAATCAAAAAACGGTGGACCCATAGACTAATACCGGAAATCCATTTGTCGATAGATAGACAACATGGGGATTTAGACTTCCACCTCACACAATTACTGAGTGGTAATGGATGGTTTAGAAGCTATTCTTTCACGACCTTAGTCCATACTGTTCGACGCATACACATTGCATAGAAGACTTTGAGCATGTATTTTTTCAATGCTTTCGTTTTTCAAATCTAAGAGAAAAGTTCAAAATTTCATTTGGAAAGCTTGACTGAAAGCACCCATGTGTCAGTCCTGTGGTAAATAGAAAGCTGTCAGTGAAGCGTTAGCTCTATTTATGACAAACCTAAGCCACATACAGTTTACTAGGCGTCAGTCAGTCCATTTGATAGGTGAGTCTTAAAGCCTTTCTCGCTCCCATGAAGTAATATTTAATCCGTTGGTTGCGAGGGAGAGATATGAATTGGAAGTAAGTTAGGTTTAGTGGATTAAAGTTCCGCACTCCGGATTTCATTACTTATTCATACTATAAAAAAAAAAACATTGTGACACAGATGAAAAGCCATCCAACAAACAATTTTTTTTCTTTTCAGAGTGTGCAGTGTGTAAGTGTCCAGTTGTGACAAATGACATTTTGCCAATAAAAAACCTGAAAAATATTAAAAAATTATTTTTTTTTTTTGCAAAATTATAAACATTTAAACAAATATTTGAAAATAGCAGATTTTACGAGAAAAGAGAATATCACCGCACTCACAGTCATACGGCTCTTTTGTGATAATTTTAAGGTTAGACGCTTACAGAATATATTTCACGCAGTGACTGTCAGTAGCGTGCGGAATCAATCCTACTTCACCTTAAATAAGAAAACTTTAAAGCCGACCGTTGCACGAATCCATGTATCCACGAATCAGATAAAGATTCTATCTCTTCTAAGTATATCCGTCCATTTATTAGTTAGTAGTTTGTTCGATTCACCACTATCAAGGCATCAGCGAATCACAGATAACTATCGCAATAAAATTTGAGTAAAGTAGTGCTAGTAGTTGGTTATAAATAATGTTATTTTTGTTGTTGTAAAGTGTACCTAACCGCCTTTAGGATGGTAACGATTAGATAAGTTGTCGTCGACGACATCCAAATCTAGCCCACAGTAAACGTCGACGGGGTCGGAGAAGGGTGTCAGATGAGTAGGGTTATGCGGGGTTATATTAGATATGTGTGTCAGGGTCTATTCTGGATAAGTATTAGTTTAAGGGGTCAGTAGGGTAATCTTTTTTTTTAAATTTTTTATGCTTTATGTTATATTTTAGATTATACGTTTAGAATTAATGTAGAAACCCACTTTACCCCTTGAAACCGAAAAAGACCCAAAAATAATAATACTGCTGCACGTTCGGAGCGCTCGGAGTGCACACCTGGCAGTACCTCACACTTTAAACGCGTTTTTCTCAAAACACCCTTTTTTAAACTGGCGGACATGATTCCGGTCGAACTACTCAACTGATTTGCTGAACTTTTTTTTTAATGTTCACAAAACACCTGGCTATCGTCCATATAGATTAATATGTTTTTATAATTTATTGACACTGTTATGACAAAACTTATGTAAAGAAAAAAGAGAAAAATTAAAAAATAAACGTTTTTATTTATCAACATTTTTTCATGATTCCAGTAGGGACGATAACCATTCACGCACTTTTTAAGAATTAATTGGGTTTTGTGTTTCAGATGATCCAAACATGAGAAATCGTGTCCGTTAGTGAAAAGGCGCATCTCATTCACCCAGTCATTTCTCCGACAGATGTCATTAAAAAATTTCTTTATATATTCCACAATATAACTCATGATATGTGAAAAAAGTTCTATTGTAGAGTAAAAATTTCTATCACAAAAAAGTTTCAAAAAGAGGCCAGATTACTCTACTGACCCCTTAGCCTGCTACAGTATCCAGTACGAAGCTGCTAAAAGGTCACTCTCGGTATAAAAAATCAAATATTTCGGTTGCTTTTTCAAATTAATTAAAACTAAAATATAAAAATGCGAAAATTAAAAGAGGAAAATATGAAATGTTTTATTTTTTTTATTTTATAAAAATAGTTCTTTTTATTTATAGTTTATATAGTTGCCAATCAAACAAAGATATTACAAAAACTTCTTCAACTATAATATATATATTTTCAACTTTGTAATACTTATTTATTTATATTACATATTAAACATTAGGAAATATATCTAATTAAATGGTCATATGATTTAAGCACAAATATACATTTATACAACTAAATTTAAATACATCAAAGCAAGGAATAAGTTTTACTTTGCCCTTAACCGCTTACAAACATATTTCTTGTTTTCGAAATAGTAAAAAATTAAAGAAATAAATTTGGCTTTAATATATAAATGTACCCAATTACACAAATATACATATATACACAAATACTTAAATACTTTATAATTTAGTATACAAGTGTGTTAAAAATCATACGTTCCTAATGCTATTTTTGCAGCTAAAACCAAATTTTATATATACACACACACACACACACACACACCATTGAGTGCTTCTCAGCATTTAAAAGTGGAGGTAAAGCAAATGTAATGAAGTGGGTGAGGCTTTGACGTACATTGGCAACCCTTACTGTGATTTACAAATATATTTTGCCAAAAATTTATTAAAAAGGACACAAAAATCAACTTTTTCATTTAAATTAGCTGTGAGCTAAACACATTTATAAAATTCTATAAAGAGAGTGTCCTTGAAGACTATTTGAAAATATCAACATGCTTTATTTCATTCCTATGAAAATCAAGCTGTGCACGATTGCCCAGAACTTTTAAAAAGGTTGTCCGATTTCTGCATCACCTCAAAATTATTATATCTTCACCTAACTTGCAAAACAACGTATCTTCAAAAAAATCGACATTGAGTTTTTTGTAGCTTACGATGAACTACATATGTGATATTGTAAAATTTCAAGCTTCAGCGCTCAGATATAACCAATATATAATCAATATATAATCAATATATAACCATTATATAACCAATATATAACCAACGTAAATTTTGTTTCAATGTGAAGTGTTTCTATGATATCGTTTTACCTTCGTGTGTAAACTTATGAAAAGTGATGTTACGTTATTTTGCATTTTAAGAGGCCGATATGCTTATTCTCAGAACAAACTCTAATTTATTGACCAACCTAATTTCATTGTCATTTTATATATACAATTATCACTCTTACACACCAATCAAGAACTAAATCGAAATGAATTATTTCAAATACTCTACTTATCAAAAGAAATTTATTGACGAGTTATTATGGTAGGTTAGGTTAAGTTAGCTCAAGTAGTATATATGTAGAACCCATAGCGAGTTTACTAGGGCTACTTGAAACAACGACCCTGTCCCTGTGGTTCCTAGAACTTTTATAAAATTGATCATAAGAGCCCTCATGTGTTGACAATCATAAATTTGTTGAGATGGCTAATCTCAGTTTAGGCTATATATTCTGGTTCGCCGAGGGTATAACTGCAGAGATGTTTCAGCAGCACTCTTAAAAATAGGATGCACCAATATTTTTCTACCTCCCCTTCTGCATAGAACTTAGGCAATTGGAGTCCGATGGATTTTTAGCCATACAGAATAAATGCCTATTCTACAATATCCAGTAAAAACTCCCACTATTGCGTCATGATGAACTTTAATAAGGGAAAGTAGTCGTGGCAGTACATATATCGCTTTCTGAAATACACCATAGCGGTCCGGTAGATTAAAATTATGACTATGCCTCTTTTCCACCGAGTTTTCCTACTTCATGATGAGCTATAACGAATTATGTTTTTTATGACTTAAGTTTTATTGCTCCATAAGGTTGAATTGTCGAGCTAAACAATAATAGAATTCTCAGCACAAAAAATCAATTGAATTTTTAAGTAAATTATGTTCTCTTTTGGCAATTGGTAGAATATTAGTATAATACAGTGTGGACAAACTTTCGTATTCATAACGACCATATCTCTTTTGATGTTGTCCGTTTCATTGCCTCGGGTGAACTTTTCGTGCAGAAATTGAGGAAAGCATTTTTCATTTTCAATCGACAATACAGTTAGTATGGAAGTAACATCTCCACTGACTGCCGTTTCTGCGACATGGAACAGGAAACTCCAGAACACCTGATTTTGGATTGTCCAGCAATTGGCAGAAGCAGGCTCAAGGCCCTAGGTATCATATCACCTCAGTTGCTCCCAGCATGCTGTTGGAATTGTTCAGGATGCTGGACTTTTGTGACCATACATGATAGACAATAGTTCGCAGTTCAAAACCACAATTTTACTATCTATCTGCACTGACTTTCTTCATAAAGATAGCAATATCGAATGTAGGGGTGGAAATACACAATGTATATATGATGCTGTATGTAATAAAAAGTATCAAACAAATTTTCAAATAGTGCTCTAATAGTGTTTCTTGATTCACCAATGCTTTGAGCGTGGTGAATCGAACAAAAAAGTTACATTAATACAAAAAAAAAAAAAAAAAAAATATTATGATAAAAGAAGACACATAGAATAAATAGAAAAAATTAATGGCAAAACATCTGTAAAATTTTGGAAAGGCAACAGGTTCGGTGTAACTGTGCTTAGGAAAATCACAACGCTGTACTTATTATACAATTATAAATTTACAGAATCTAATAGTGCGCTTGTGGTAACTTGCTAACTTGGAAGGGCTTTCTACTTAAATTACAACGTTTTTTTTCTTCGTAAAACTCAAAACAATAACCACATTCGAACCACAATTAGTTAGGTAGTAAGTGGTAATAGCATAAATACTGAGCTGTTCCATAGGCAAGAAATGTAGGAATGAAACTACTATTAGCAAGAAACACCCTGTTTAGCCACTGTGTACCAGGCGCGGACCTTCACCAAAGACGGCGACTCGGACGTGGGCAGGTGCTGTTGCAACTGTAGCTCACTGTCGCTGACAGTGCCCCTTGTGGCGCGATCTAGGGCGTGAGTTGTGGACTGTGGTTGCAAAGCTACCGCGGTTCCCGCTGGTGCAGTTAGTGCCGACGCCGCCGCCACTGAGCTGGCATTGCTGGTGCAGCAGGCGTCGCTGCAACCACTCGGTGTGGCAGTTTGTATGTTTGTTGTTGCGTATAAATTTTGATTTTGCTGCAAGCTTACATTTCTATCATGTTGTTTTTGTAATTGCATGTGAGACTCACATTCAATGTTTATAGTAGTTGCCGTTGTGGCCGTAGTTGTTGTAGAAGCAGCTGCAGTGCCGGTGTTGTTGCAGTCCATTTTACTATTATGCAGTGCCGCGTGCCGTTCATAATATGGTTGTTGTTGTAGCTGTTGCTGCTGCTGTTGTTGGTAGTATGACGGCGGCACATAATCACATTGTTGCAGCAATAATTGCAACTGATATGCATTGTGTAGTTGTTGTGGATGGTGGAAGTGGTAGGGTGCGGACTTGGGGCCCACCTGCGGACAGCGATACCGCACCGCGGCGCTGACGTCGCGTCGTGACCAATGCACCCCGCTCGTATAGGTGTTCGTAGGCGCCAAGCAGTCGTTGGTGCCATAACGTTGCCACCCCGCCGTAACTGCGCCCTCATTACCACCATCTCCGCCACCGTCGTGCCCATCGCGTCGCCCGCTGCCATTTTCATCGTGCGCACCACTCCAGCTCACCTCCTTGCGGGTTTTACTCGAACGCCGCTTGCTGCGCTGCTGCTGCAGCAAACGGCTCCATTGGCGGCGTTGATGAGGTCGCAAATGGCGCAACTGTAGTTCGATTTGTGGCCGTAGGCAGTGATGGCACATGGAGCCCAACTTGTCGCTGACCGCTTCTTCGCTATCGCTGTCGCATGAGGCAGTGGAGGCATCGCTGCTGGAAGTAGGCGTTTTGGCAGCAGGGAGTCCGTGTGTAACGGTACGCTTGTCAGTGCTTTCGCGCAGTTGAGGTTTCTCACAATTTGCGGATGAAGTTTGGCTTATTACTGCATCCACTTGGCTCTGCTGGTGTGGCTGTAATTCTGGCTGTGATGACTGTGGTTGTGCTTTGTCTGGTAGTTGTATTTGTAGGACTTTCTTACTTGACTTACGTTTATTTGGCTTTTTACATTTGTCGCGCTGTGTTTGCTCGTCCAGTGTCATTTGCTGTTGCGACATTTGTTGCTCTGTTTGCTGTTGACGTTGTTGTGATGATGGTTGTTTGCGCCTATTGCGACTACTACGTGTACGACTATGATTATTACCTCCGGCAGTAATCCCCTTGCCCCTTCCCGACGATTGTGCTTTGTGTTGTCGGTAATTACCGGCGCTCTCGTCTCGTTTCTCCAGTGGATATGGTCAGAACGCTGAGTCGAAGACGGACATTGACCGTGATATGGCTTCGTCATTTCGACATGTCTCCAGAAATTCATCCAGCGTCACCACACCATCACGATTTTTGTCCATTTTCTGAAAAAATACATATGGATATAGTAGGTTAAGTAAATCCGTTAAGTTTTCGTTAGTCGTGTGGTTTAATTCTGGTTTAATTTTTATTTTTAAGTGTAATATTTTAAAACTATAATATTCGGGTGGAAAGGCAAGTAACAAGAAATCGGTCAAGTCTTTATTGAGTTTGACTGGTCGTATAATTTTATCTTGATGTTGATCGATCAGTTTGTATGGCAGTTGCATGCCAAAGTGGTCCGATTTCCCCAATATGTTCGGAGATTGTAGCGATGCCTTAGAATACAAGTTTTGTGAAAATACTTTGTCAAATAAAAAAATTTTTTCATACAAAAATATGATAATGATCGTTCACTTGTATGACATCTATATGATATAGTGATCCAATCTAAAAACCTTGCGTTTTTGTTTTAGAAAATTACTCTTCACGAACTTGTCGTCAAAGGAAAAATATTTTCATACATATTATTTGGGGAAAAAATAGACTTTTTAATTTAAGTTGCGCGCGAAGCCCCATTCGCCAAAATACTTTTTTCTAGGTTTTTACGACTGTCAGTGACATATGAGCCCAATGTCACACCAAACTTATCATTAGTGACTTGTGTAATCTTGCCTTTTTGAAGTACAGAAAGTGCATTCGGTGACTTTTACGATGAGTGAAAATATTCAACAAAGAAGTTCCAGTATATTTTGTGTGCGGAATCAAATTTCTGGTGTCGAAAAGTTCAGAAAGTTTAAGAAAGCCTTATGTGATAATGCGACATTTGTGCCGCGACAATTGTTTTTGTTAGGTACAAATTATTCATGGAGGGTTGAGAACGCGTTGACTACAAACCGTGACCAGGACGGCCATAAACATCAATTGATGATCAACACGCCAATAAAATAAAGAAATTGGTGCTGGAGATTAAACGATTAATAGTCTGAGATCTTACTGGCATCATTGGAGTATCGGAAGGATTAGTGAAAATCATATTGAACCCTAAGAAATGTGAAAGCACGATTCTTTCCAAAATCCCTAAAGTTCTTCGAAAAACAGCGTCGCAATAACGTCTCTGAAACAACGGTTTTCGACTATAGGATGCCACGAAACGCAATATCATTGGCGATGAGTCTTGGATCTGTGCTTAAGACCCGGAAACAGACGATCAATCGATGAAAATCGTGGCGAAAGCCGAGAAAACCAGGTCAAAATCAATGCTATGAAACCTTGAATGAAAAGAGGCCGGAACTATGGGCCGACAACTCTGTATGTCACATACTGCATTGATTCTTCGTCAATTTTTCGTCAAATTTTCAACCAATATCGTGCCGCAACCACAGTATTCGCTTAACTTAGCTTTGTTTGGCTACTGGCTAAAACCGAATCGCTTCGATCGCTTCAGGATTGGAAACACGTTGGCACAATGTATTGGGACCAAGGGGATTAAATTAATGGGACCAGGTAGATTTTGAAGAATAAATTTTTACTATTTTATGCTCATAGTGACCTAATATTGACAGTTTCGGCAAGAGAGCTGCTTTTTGGAGACGCAAAATTTTAGATCGATATATCAAAAACTGAAGAACGAGTTCACTTGTAACGGGTTTGTCAATAGGGACGCTACAAAAGAAGACCGATAGAGACAGTAACCGACACCATATGTTTTCCGTTCTTTTGACATTTATCTTTTGTAAGGTTTGATATTTCATCACGGAAAGATATATGATCCAACAACGAAAATATTAAAATTTAGTACTGAAATTCGGAGTCAGTGATCTCAACTTTACAGGTACGTCTATAATTTATATATACACACGTCGTTCTCAAACGCTGGGCGTCTCTGTGACGTCGTTTTGGCGAATTTTTGGATACTATTTTGGCCTACACCCTTGAAACGTCAAATTAACACAAGAACTGAAGCCGCTTGACCACTAGAATCGTCGTATGTTCGTGAACTGGGCTAAACAACAACCTGAAAATGATCGGGACTTTTATTTTGAGATCATCTTAAGCGATGAGGCTTATTTCTGGCTGAATGACTTTGTCATTAAAAAAAAAAAAAAATGCGTTATTGGTCAGGCAGCAATCTACACGTACTCCATGAGTCACCATTGCATCCCGAAAAATAGGATTTGCTGCAATTAATGGGTCGGCGGCGTCATTGGCCCGTACTTTTCCGTGATGATCAAGACCAATAAGTTACTGTGAATGGGAATCGCTACCGCTCAATGACAACCGAATATTTTTGAGTCGAATGGGATGATATGGGCATGGACAATATGTGGTTCCAACAGGACGGCGCCACAAGTCACACAGCGAATGTCACAATCGATTTATTGAAAACCAAGTTTGGTGAACGTGTTGTCTCACGCAATAGCCCAATCAATTAGGCACCTCGGTCGTGCGATTTGACGCCGTTGGACTGTTTCCTGTGAGGCTACGTCAATTCTGTGGTCTACACAAACAAGTCAGCGATGATTGATGAACTTCGTAAGAATATCGAAAGTGAAATTGCAGCAGTATCGGCCGATTTATGCTTGAAAACCGCCGAAAATTTGGTTCAGCTTCTGAACTTCTGCAAGTGTGCCCGCGGTGGCCATGCAAAAAAAAAAAAAAAAAAAAAAAAAAAAAAAAAAAAAAATTGAGTTCTATATATAATGGCATCTTTTGTAGCGCTTTTATTGACAGATATATTGGCAGATTAAAATGATTTATTCCCCAATATAACAGCACACTTCGAATCGCGTTCTTTACGCACTTAACTTTATACTTTCTCGTAAAGGAAGATTACAAAAATTTTTCAAAAACGCGTAGAAATATATCAAATTTCTATACAACTAACTTTTAATACATTTGATTTCATGATTTACCATTTCTTTTTATTATAAAAATTCCATTTATATTTGTGCTTTCTTGGCGCCAATATAATATTTAAAAGCAATTTGCTTAACTTTGCGTTAAGATTAGCTTTTATAAATCTCTAAGCCCACAGGTCATTAATTCAGAACAGCGCGATGAACCAAATGAAAATATTTGTAAGGCAATTTAATACCTTAGCTATCATACATACATACCAGCAAGGCGAATAATTGCAAACCGAAGCTATTTGAGAATAATTTCTCATTTCTGTTTAGGTATGTGCCCACTAGGGACGTGCGCGACAATTGGAATTTGTACCCTTCTACTGCTGCGAGTTCTTTATAGCGCTTATAACTTTAATGCAAAAACTTATGTTCTTTTATTTGAATTTAAATTTTACGATTGCTAAGAAATACAACTCAATTCCATCGACATTTCTTTTATGGCTTGTGAAAAGTTTGCAAATGGCCTAGCTTGCGGTAAACTTACCTGGAATATGTGTTCGACTTTGTGTTTGATTTTCTCCTCCTCGGGACACTCGTCCGGTAGGCGTCCCATCAGTTCGTAAATGGCAGTCACAATATCAGTCATTTCTTCCCTCGTTATGAAGCCGTCGCCGTTGATGTCGTACAACGAGAATGTCCAGCGTAATTTTTCCTCCACAGAGCCGCGCGACAATATCGATAGTCCCTGAACAAAGTCCTGCAAGCATAGGGAAAACAAATGCTCGTAGATAATTTGCAAAACACCACTGTAAAATCAGTAAAGAAACAAGAAGAAGAAAAGTCTAGTGACAAACAATTTTCTTGCCATGAAAGTTGAATATTTTTCAACTCCCCCCAAATGTAAATCTTCTGGTAGATACTGGTATACCAGCTGTTGTGTGGTAACCGCAAATGCCTTGTCATTCGTTATCGTCGGCTGTTCTTCTCATTACAAGCTCAATTGACAACTGTTGTGCACGACAGTTTGAAGTGCGTCATTTATTTTTATCATTCAGAAAATGGCGAATGAAATTACCGTAAACAGACAAATTGAATTGGAATGGGCTTTAACGTATTTAGGCACAAATATATACTTCGTCGAACGCCAAGTGCTGCTAGCATTTGAGAATTATTGTAATTGAAAGTAATGCAAGCCATTGTGCGTACCATATCATATTTGTTACATCTTTTCAAGGTGCCATTGACTTTAAGGTATTTAATTCGTTACAAGAGTATGTAAATCTGGAAGGAGCAGATGTAGATCATATACATTAAAATATTCACGACTTGTAAACCATATTAAACATATTGAAGTCGTTTTCTACTCAACAGTGCTTGTTTTCAGAAACTCCTTTAAATTTTCATAGAAAACGATGACATTGCGACAATATTTACTGAATGAAGTTTCTAATCTAGTTTAATCGGATTACTTCAATTTTCGTCTGAAATTTTCCACTAATTCGAATTACTAAATAACTTTGCTTTGAAGAGCGAAATTCTTAATTTGTCGGAGCTTTTATAAATTATCTGTAACTTTGCAATGTAATTGACAATAGAGTTATACATTTTTTGCATTCTTCTTAGTACTTGTCTGAGAAAATTGGAGACTAGCACCGTTATTTCACATTTACAATTCATCAAATTTAATTTAAATTTTCATGAATATAATTTCTTTCATTTCTTAAGCTTTCATTTTACAATTTCTTTCAAAGACTTAAGCATGCTGCCAAATACTTCTCAGAAATTCTAAACAAAGGGTTGTTGTCTGAAGACATAAGTATCGGGTGATTTTTTAAGAGCTTGATAACTTTTTTAAAAAAAAAAACGCATAAAATTTGCAAAATCTCATCGGTTCTTTATTTGAAACGTTAGATTGGTTCATGACATTTACTTTTTGAAGATAATTTCATTTAAATGTTGACCGCGGCTGCGTCTTAGGTGGTCC